ATTTTTTTTTTAAAATCCATGAAATAAAACAAAAAAAAAAAAAAAAAAATTAAGGGTAAAATATTTAATTATTAATTAATCTTTTGCCTTTATAATTTTTTTTTAGATATCATCAATTTTTATCCATATTTTTTTCAATATTTTAAATATTCACGTGAATCATTTAATGTAACAAGGTTTTATAGTGATAAATTTACATTTTATATAGCATGGAAATTATAAACATTTTTTTTAAAAAAAAATATTATCATTCAAATAATAGCATGGATTTGTTCATTAACACTAAAAATTTGTCCATAAGAGAATTGTCTAATTATTGTGACCAAATTTTTTTAGTAAATTTTGATTATAGATATTAATTTGATAAATTTTTAAAAATTTATTCGATTTATTAATAAAAAAAAATCAGAGTTTATAAATGATGTTGATGCGTGAATCTAATCAAATGAATTAGGTTGATTGAACAAGTCGAGTCATCTACACAGTACTACTATAACTGAAGAACCAAAAAAACTCAACGTAGAACTTCAATCCTTGAGAATTGGCCACAAGGCAACAACTTCTGATACCCCATACCATTGTGGCGGGAGGGTCTTGCCCATCAGCCTACCTTGTCAAGAGGTGGGCTGGAGTGCAACGACCTAGCCCAAATCCACTTAGATGAACCTGCCTGAATTGGCCACAAGGCAACAACTTCTAATGCCCTGCACCATTTTTGATGGAGGGGTCTTGCCCATCAGCCTACTTTGCCAAGAGGTGGGCTGAAGAGCAACAACCTACTCTAGATGAAGCTGAAGCTGCAAGGCATATAAAGGGAGCTGAGGACCCTCACGCAGACTCTGATGCTTAGGTCATTATTGGATCAGAAATCGAAATAATAGTGTGCTAAGCTTGGGTAGTATGTCACGTACCTTGCTTTAGTAGTCGACAAGCCCGAGGTCGGTAAGCCATGTCCCTCCCAAGTAGTCGGCCTTACTCCTCGACTCGGCCTCGTGGGCCGATTGGGAAAGCCTTTCTTCCACCTTGAGATAGACGATGCCTTTCTCATCGCACATTCTTCCACCAAGAGCCCGATGCTCGTTGCCGAATAAATTCATTCGTCTCTAAGGTTAGGGTAACAAATATCTGTGGAAGTTTTGGGTTGGCTTCTTAAACTTGAGATAGGAGTTCTTAATCGATTGCAATTCGTTAATGACAACGTTTATGGGCGTTCTCTCACCAGGTACAGGGGAGGAGCAAGATAAGCCAATTTTCGTTGCTGAGATTACACATTCTTCCATCCATCTTGGTACGAATCTCTTACGATCTTCCTCACTCATTATTGCGATTTCTTGTATTGTATCTTCATTCTGTTCTTGTTGGAACGATTCTTCAAATAACGAAGGGTCAACTATGGCTAGCATATCTTGACACAACGCCACTGTAGCGAGTTCATGAATGTTCCCACCATCGCCGAACATGTCGTCGGTGGGTCTTTTTCCAATAATCATCTCTAATAGCAGTATTCCAAAGCTGAAGATATCTCCTTCAATTGAAATTCTACCACCGATGCCGTACTCTGCAATTGTTCATTCATTATTTGTAGCAATAGAAAATCGAGATCTAACAATTGTTATTGAAAGGAAAATACCTGGAGGGATATATCCGATAGATCCCTTAAGTGCAAGTGACATGGTTTGACTGAAAGAGGATTGGTAATTTGATCCTTCCAACATGAATTTTGCTAACCCAAAGTCCCCTATATGAGCTACCATATCTTCATCCAGCAATATATTGCTAGGCTTTAGATCACAATGAACAATGGATGTTTCACAATGATTATGGAGATAATCCAATCCACAGGCAATATCAATTGCAACGTTCAATCTTTGAATGAAACTCAACCTTCTTTCATTGTGTTCATGATTTGTGGGGTGAAGCCAACCGTCTAAATTTCCATTGGACATGAAATTGTAGATTAGAGCTTTAAATTCATTTCCTTGTTCATCTGTGCTTGAGCAAGTAGTTATGATCTTGAGCAGATTTCGATGTCGTATACTTGCGAGAGCTTTGCATTCATCAAGAAAACTCTTGGAAGCACCATGCTGTTGAAGATTTAGAACTTTAATGGCAACAACTGATCCATCATTTGAAAGAATACCTTTATACACTGAACCAAAACTACCTGAACCCATAAAATTATCTACAGAGAATCTATCAGTTGCTCTACTGAGTTCAAAGTAAGAAATTTGTGGTAGAAAATCCATGAAGGAAGATGAAGTTGAAGCGTTAGTCCTTCCCTTCTTGAGCTTATAACACACATAAAGGATGCTTACTAGAACAACAGTAAATATGACCGTTGATACTACCGGGATTAACACTTTAGGTGATGAAAACTTGGTGGATGAATGTGTTCGGCTAGGCGGGCACGAAGGTAAATGTAATTCTTGTAATCCATCACATAGATTATTATTCCCAAGAACAGAAATCATGGTTGAATTGGAAAAAACTCCTTCTTTGGGCACTTTTCCCTCAAAGTTATTATAGGATAGGTTGACATACTTGAGTGACTGAAGATTTCCAAGAAATTGGGGAATTGATCCTGATAGGTTGTTGTTGGAAAGATTTAGTACTTCTAGGCCTTGCAAAGCTTCTAACGATTGAGGAATTGTTCCCTCAAATTGGTTACCACTCAAATCCAAGTAAAGCATGCTTACACATTTACCAAGATTGCTTGAAATGTTGCCTGATAATCTGTTCTTTGATACATCCAACAATGTTAAACGAACTAATTCACCCAATTCAAGTGGCAATGGACCTGTAAATGAGTTATTATTCAAGGCCAAGTAGACTGAAAGGGAGGAGAGACGAAGAACTTCTTTCGGTATAACGCCGCTAAGTCTGTTACCAGATAAGTCAAGACCTATGAGGCTTTTGCATTGTCCCAAGCTTGTTGGTATACTTCCCTCGAGCCTGTTATCGTTCATGCAAAGCTTAGTGATCGAAGACAAGTTGCCAATGGATGGTGGAATTGACCCACTTAATTTGTTACCTTGCAACAAAAGCATCACCAAGTTCTGAAGATTCCCAATATTGGAAGGAACACTACCATTCAGACCATAGTTATATTCCACTGCAAAAATTTGCAAGTTAATCAAGTTAATGATCCCTGAAGGAATGCTTCCACTCAACATATTTCCACCCAAGTTTAGAACTGTGAGCTGCTTTGAAAGGTTTCCAATAGATGAAGGCAATGCTCCTCCAAAGCGATTCCTAGATAGACCCAAACCCTTTAGACTAGTACAATTAGCCAAGGAACTGATGAAATTTAAGTCATCAGCCCCTCCACTTCCAAGTCTGTTGTCTTCAAAATTGAGTCTCTCCAAGCCTTTTAGCCTCCCCAACTCATCAGGTATCATCCCAGTGAAACTGTTCTTAGGAAGATCCAGTACTTGAAGACCAGAGACGTTAGCAAACGTCGTCGGAATCGGCCCTATGAAATCGTTACCACCACCGGCGAAGACTCGAAGATTGGGTAGTGTAAATCCGATATTTGGTGGTATATTTCCTTGTAGTCGATTATTAGTCAGATATAACTGAGTCAAAGAAGTTATATTATAGATTGCAGGTGGGACTGTACCTGTCAAATAGTTCACAGAAACTGAGAAGAAATCCAATCTAGTCAGGCGTCCAAATTCTTCGGGAATATTTCCTTGAAAATTGTTATATGTGAGTGACATACGAGATAGGGAGGAAAAATTTGCTATCCAAGGTGGGATAGTTCCAATCAGATTGTTAACACCAAACCCGAGCCGTTCTAACTTGGTTAACATGAACAACTGGTGTGGAATGTGGCCTACAAGCCCATTGATACCAAACTCCAAAACAACAAGCTCCCTGCAATGACTTATATTGGCCGGAATCTCACCGCTGAAGTTATTGAAAGACAAATTGAGATGACGCAATTGTAGAAGTCGACCGAACTCATGGGGAATATGGCCGTGGAATTTGTTGTCTCCCAACCTGATTTCAGTGAGATGAGTCATATTTCCAAAAGAGGTCGGTATAGAGCCACTAATTTTTCGAGCTTCCAACTCCAAAACTACAACTCTCCGGAGGGTAGAATTGCAAGTAACACCATCCCAATCACAAAAATGCGTGGAATCGTTCCAGGAGCTCATGATGTCAAATGGATCATTGAGTACTCTGCTTTTGAAGTCGAGCAGAGCCAAGCGATCTGGTTCATTTGCAGAAGTCGAGCTCAGGGATATCAGAAATGTATGGTACAAAAGTATACACAGAATCGGATTGCGCCTCATGTTGCGGCTGAGAACGGCCGGAATCGCAAGGACGAGCAAAATCGAATCGTCGGCTTTGGTAGCTTTATGAAGTTATAATTTTCTTTGGAAGTTACTCATTGAATGGCCGTTCGGTGAGTTCAAAATGAGTCAATTACTTGTTCCACCTGCCTTGCTTTAAGTGCGGGTTGTTGGATGGTAAATGTTAAAATAAATATGGTCAATTTTCAAAGTTAATTAAAAGATATATGGTCTCAAATTTTAAAACGATTAGATTCAAAAGCAAAAGTGAAATTTAACTTCAAAAGAAATTGTTTCCTTAAATAAAGACCATAATCTATTATCCTTAAAATATAAAAGCTTTAATAGATTTTTTATGAACTATTTAATAATTTTATTTTTTCCATGCATAAACATAAAATTAATAAAAGTGAGGTTATTTCTCACACTCTTATTATAAAAATAATTAATAAATATTAAATAAATATAGTTTAATAAAGTTACTAAATACCAACATAAGTCATGGGTCACGATAAGGTCAAGGTAACAAATTTATGACGTCGCTATTCTTATCAAAATTTGTTGATAACCGAAGACTTTGAAGCGACCCTTTTTTCTCTTTTTAATTAATTATGACCTTAAAGTTGTGATGTTCGTGAAAGATGATAAATAAATTTTTTCACAAAAAAAATAGTGTGACCAATACATAAATCATATTTAAAATACTTATCTTTGGTAAGTGGTCGAAGAACAACGGGGGGGAAGAATAGGCAGTAATTTGGGTGTCAAGCTCGGGAAAACTGATGTTTATGATACCTTGGACGAGGCTTAGTAAACTTGAGATAGGAGCTTTTAATTGCTTGCAATTCATTGATGACAACATTCATTGACATTCTGTCTGCAGGTGCAATGCAGGAGCACGATATGCCGATTCTCAGCATCGACACTACACATTCTTCCATCCATCTTGGTACCCTTTCTGTACCATCTTCCTCACTCATTATCACCATTTCTTCTATTCTCTCTTCCTTCTCTTCTTCTTCACGTGTTTCTTCAGGTAGCATACAAGGATCGAGTATGGCCATGGCATCTTGAGGTACTGCCATTCTACTCAACAAATGGATACCCACTCCATTCCCAAACATGTCGTCGGTGGGTCTTTTCCCGATCATCATCTCCAATAGTAGTATTCCGTAACTGAAGATATCTCCTTCCATGGAGATTCTGCTATCAGTCCCGTACTCTGCATTTGTTCATTCATTATTATACCAAGTATCTATAATAGCCTAAGCCCACCGCCAAGAGACATTGTCCTCTTGGGACTTTCTCTTTTGGACTTTCCTTTAAGTTTTTAAAGGGACTTTCTCTTTTAGACTTTCCTTTAAGATTTTAAAAAGCGTCTAATAGGGAGAGGTTTCCACACCCTTATAAGAAATGCTTTGTTACTCTCTCCAACCGATGTGGGATCTCACAATCCACTCCTTGGGGCACACCGTCTGGTGTCTGGCTTTGTTATCATTTGTAACGGCCCAAGTTCACCGCTAGCATATATTGTCCTATTTAGGTTTTCCCTTTTGAGCTTTCCCTTAAGGTTTTTAAAACACGTCTACTAGGAAAAGATTTTCACACCCTTATAAGGAATGTTTTGTTGTCCTCTCCATCTTCAACTGATGTGACGTGGGATCTACAGAGTAGCTAGCATAAAGATGATATAAGAGTTTAGATGAAAGGAGAATTACCTGGAGGGATGTAGCCTATAGAACCCTTGAGTGCCATTGACATGGTTTGGCTGAAGGATAATGGGTCATTTGATCCTTCCAACATGAATCTAGCTAACCCAAAGTCTCCTACATGAGCAACCATATCGTCGTCGAGTAATATATTGCTCGGCTTTAGATCACAATGAACAATAGGGATTTCACAATGATTATGGAGATAATCTAATCCACAGGCAATATCAATGGCAACGTTCAATCTTTGAATGAAACTCAACCTTCTTTGGTTGTGGCCTTGATTTGCAGGATGAAGCCAACAATCAAGATTTCCGTTGGACATGAAATTGAAGACTAGAGCTTTAAATTCATTGCCCTGTACATCAATACTCGAGCAAGATGTTATGATCTTGAGCAGATTTCGATGTCGTATGTTCGAGAGAGCATTGCATTCATCAACAAAACTCTTGGAAGCACCTTGTTTTTGAAGATTTAGAACCTTAACAGCAACAATAGATCCATCATTTGAAAGAACGCCTTTATACACAGAGCCAAAACTACCCGAACCAATGAAATTTTCAATAGAGAATCCATTGGTTGATTTACTGAGTTCCAAGTAAGAAATTTGTGGTAGAAACCCCTTTGAAGAAGATGAAGTTGAGGCATGCTTCCTCGACTTCTTAAGCACAAAACACACAAAAATGATACACACCAATATAACAGTGAATGTGACAACGGATGCTATGGGGATTAACACCCTTGATGCTAGAAACCGCTTATTGGACAAATGTGTTTGGTTAGGCATGCACGGAGGTAAACGCAATTCCGGTAGCCCATCACATAGATTCTTATTCCCAAGGACGAAAATCATGGTTGAATTGGAAAAGACTCCTTCTTTGGGCACTTTTCCTTCCAAGTTATTATAGGATAGATTGAGGTAATTGAGTGAGCGAAGGTTGGCAAGAAATTGGGGAATTGACCCAGACAAGTTGTTGGCTGATAGATCTAGTTCTTCCAGACCTCTCAAAGCTTCGAAAGATGGAGGAATAATTCCAGTAAACTGGTTCTCTTCAAGAGACAAGCTTTCCATGCTCCTACAATTACCCATATTGCTGGGTATATTACCAGACAGTTTGTTCTCTGATACATATAGTTCACTCAAACTAACCAAGTTACCAACTTCAGATGGCAATGGACCAGTGAGTGAGTTATGGTCCAAGCCTAAGTAAACTGAAAGGGAAGGGATGCCAAGAATTTCCTTGGGTATAGAGCCAGTTAGGGTGTTATGAGCTAGATCAAGAGCTTGGAGGCTTTTGCATCGTCCTAAACTCGGCGGTATACTTCCCTCGAGTCTGTTATGGTCTATGTAAAGCCTAGAGATTGAAGATAAGTTACCAATGGAGGATGGAATTGGCCCAGTTAGGTTGTTCTCATCCAAGTACAACCAACCCAAATTCTGAAGCTTCCCAATACTGGGAGGGATTCTACCATTCAGATGGTTGTATTCCATTCCAAGAATTTGCAAGCTAATCAGGTTTTCAATCCCACTAGGAATGCTTCCACTTAACATATTTTCACCCAAGGTTATCCTTATCAAGCGGTCCGAAAGGTTTCCAATGGTTGGTGGCAGTGCTCCTCCAAGACGATTCTTAATTAGACCCAAATCCATTAGATTAGTACAATTAACCAAGAAACTGATGAAATTTAGATCACCAGCTTTCCCACTTCCAAGCCTGTTGGTATCAAAATTGAGTACTCGCAAGTCTTTTAATCTCCCCAACTCATGAGGTATCATTCCAGTGAGACTATTTTCAGATATATCTAACAATTCAAGATTGGAGATGTTAGCAAAGGACGTAGGAATAGACCCACTAAAATTATTCATACCACCTAGGAAGATCCGAAGATTGGGAAGTGTAAATCCAATACTTGGGGGTATAGATCCTTGAAGTCGATTTTGAGTGAGTGTCAGGTCAACCAGAGAAGTTATATTGTAGATTGAAGGGGGCACTTTACCTGTCAAGTTGTTCTCATAAACTTCGAAGAATTTCAATCTTGGTAGTCTCCCTAGCTCACTGGGAATGCTTCCTTGAAAATTGTTCCGCCCCAGATTCAAATTAAACATGGAGGAAAAATTCCCTATCCAAGATGGGATAGCTCCGCTGAGATTGTTGTAGTTACACTCTAGTTGGTTCAACTTGGTTAACGTTAATAGCTGGTTTGGAATCTGACCTATAAACCTGTTGGCATTGAGTATCAAAACAACGAGCTCAGTGCAATGGCTTATATTCGTCGGAATCTCACCACCGAAGTTGTTGTTGGACAAGTTGAGAAAACGCAATTGCTGTAGCCGACCGAACTCTTGGGGAACTGAGCCATGGAAGTTGTTGCTTCCCAATTTGATTTCAGTGAGGTGGGTGAGATTTGCCAGAGAAGTGGGTATGGAGCCAGTCAGATTTCGAGCTTCCAAGTCCAAACCCACTACTGTTCCAATGGTGGAATTGCAAGTGACACCAGTCCAGTCACAGAAATGCGTGGAATCATTCCAAGAACTCATGGTTTTAAGTGGGTCGTTGAGTACTCTGGCTTTCAAGTCAAGCAGAGCCAAGCGTTCCCATTCATCTCCCCTAGTGAGTATGCTTGCAAAAGCTGAGATTAGAGACAACAAAAAGATATCATAGAGAAACATCTTGTTGGTATTGAAGAAATCCTGGCCTATCCTGCTGCGAAATTATGCTGGATTTGTGATGGACAGAACCTAAAGCATAGCACTCGAGTGGCAATGATAGCTTTTAGGTTCTGATTTTGGGTTTAAACCCCACTTTGATGAGCCTTCTATTAAATTAGAAATATTCTAAGAGGCACTATACCTATCTTCCACCATCCCCTTCTCTCTGTTTTCCAACCCCACTACCACTGCCTCCCCATTGCTATCATCTCCCTCCCCTTCCGAGTACAACTTGACACTCATAATCCTTACTTCATCACGCGCGTTTAAGCTTTTAGAACATTTGGTATGTTAATATTATCATTAGAATGCTGAGATTCTGATGAATAATTTGACTATTCGTTAACAACATTCATGGACGCTCATCTCTGGTGAGGTCGTAGGAACACCAAACCAACCACAAAAATGGGTGGACTCGTTCCAAGAGCTCACGACTTTGAGTGGGTGGTTGAGTCGTCTTGTTGGCACTGCTGCAACGGTGGCCCATTCCACTGCGAAATAAAAAGGAAGAGCCTTAAAGAAATGGTATTTTTTTCAAGGTGGTCCAATTATCTTAGCTCAATCATAATCTCATTAAATGAAGACTAGCAATAGTAATTCTTCGTCCGGAGAAAGATTCTTCAAATAATTTTTCCAATTTTTATTTTTTATTAAATTATAAGTATATTTATTATGTTCTTATCCTTTCAACTTTATATCTATAGGCTATTTAATTTTCAAACTTGTGTATAATAAGTGCTTCATATGTTATTTCAAACTTGGTAGATACCGAATCGAAAGTTTAAGACCTATTGCACACGTATGTGTATAATTATGCACATTTTGATTACCAATGACTTCCGATCATCGGAATACAGAATCCTATTAACCTTGCTGCAATCGTGCTTCGTCTTGCAGGGAAATGTCGGATCTGTAATGAACAGATGAGGGAGGGAGCTCATTGATTCTGATAAACCAAGTAAGCCAACCTGCAAATTCTTGAAGCTCTTGTTGGTCGGACAACATTAGCTTGCCTCCTTCCACTTGAGAAAGGAGCTTTTAATTGTTTGCAACTTATTAACCACCACACTCATGGACATCCTCTCTCTAGGTGTTCTTGAGGAGCATGACAGCCCAATTCTCAATATTGATGCTACACATTCTTCCATCCTTCTTTGCTCTATTTCTGTATGATCTTCCTCAATCATTATTGCTCTTTCTTGTATTTTTTCTTCACCCTGTTCTTGGTGGCATGTCTGTTGAGATAGCAAATAAGGATCAACTATGTCCAACGCACCATGAGGCAATGCCATTGCTGTGAATAGATGAATGTCCACACCATCGCTAAACATGTTGTCTGTGGGTCTTTTTCCAATGAACATCTCCAATAGAAGAATTCCATAGCTAAAGATATCTCCTTCAATTGAAATTCTGCCTCCACTTCCGTACTCTACAATTGAACATTCATTCATTCATTCATCTATTTACCAACAGAAACTCAAGATGGATGGGTTTGAATGCAAGGAAAATACCTGGAGGAATATATCCAATAGAGCCATGAAGTGCAAGTGACATGGTTTGTCCAAAAGAGGATTCATTTGCCCCTTCCAGGATAAATCTAGCTAACCCAAAGTCCCCAACATGAGCTACCATATCATCATCCAGCAACACATTGCTAGGCTTTAGATCACAATGAACAATGGGCGTTTCACAGTGATTATGTAGATAATCCAATGCATTGGCAACATCAATGGAAATGTTCAGTCTCTGAATAATGCTCAATCTTTGACCCTTCTCGATATCTGTGGGGTGAAGCCAACCATCCAAGTTTCCATTAGACATGAAATCAAAGACTAGAGCTTTGAACTCATTCCCCTTTTCATCTGTACTTGAGCAAGAGGTTCTGATCTTAAGGAGGTTTCGATGTCGTATGCTTGTGAGAGCTTTGCATTCGTCGTCAAAACTCTTGGAAGCACCACGTTGTTGAAGGTTAAGAACCTTAACAGCAACAACTGATCCATCATTCAAAAGAACACCTTTATACACAGAACCAAAACTACCTGAACCAAGCAAATTGTCTGCAGAAAATCCATTGGTTGATCTATTCAGCTCCAAGTAAGAAATTTGTGGTAATAAGTCCGTAGAGGAAGATGAAGTCAAAACATTTCTTGACTTCTTCATCAAAAAACGTACAGATAGGAAGATCAAAAGAATAACTATGAAAGCGAGGGTAGATACTACGGGGATCAACACTTTCGGTGCTAGAAGCTTGTAGGAAAAATGGGTTTGGTCAGATTTGCACGGAGGTAGATGCAATTCCTGCAAGCCATCACATAGATTGTTGTTTCCGAGGATGGAGAATTTGGTTGAATTGGAAAAAACTCCCTCTTTGGGCAGCTTCCCCTCGAAAGTATTATAGGATAGATTAAGAAACTTGAGTGAAGAAAGCTTGCCAAGAAATTCAGGAATTGGCCCAGACAAGTTGTTGCTTGAGAGATTCAGTTCTTCTAGACCTTTCAAAGCTTCCAAAGATCGAGGAACTGTCCCCTCAAACTGGTTACCTCCCAAATACAAGCGTACCATGCTAATACATTTGCCAAGGTTGTCGGGAATATCACCTGATAATTTGTTCTGCGATACATCCAACAATGTTAAACTAACTAACTCACCCACTTCATATGGCAATGGACCAGTAAGTGCGTTGTTGTTTAAGGCTAAATAGACTGAAAGGGAAGAGAGTTTGAGAACTTCCTTGGGTATGCTGCCACTTAGATTGTTACCAGATAGATCAAGAACTTGGAGGCTTTTGCATTGTCCCAAGCTTGGAGGTATATTTCCCTCAAGCCTGTTATCCTCCATGAAAAGCTTGGTGGCTGAAGATAAATTACCCATGGAGGATGGAATTGTTCCTGTTAACTTGTTACCATTCAAATTAATAATAGACAACTTGTGAAGCTTCCCAATACTGGACGGGACGCTACCGTTCACACGGTTGCCTTCTACTCCAAGAACTTGTAAGTTAACCAAGTTTTCAATCCCTACTGGAATGCTTCCACTTAACAAGTTACTCCCCAAGGTTAGAATTGTGAGGTGGTTGGAAAGGTTGGCAATAGATGGAGGCAACACTCCTCCTAAGCGATTTCCAGCAAGACCCAGAACGCGTAGACTAGTACAATTAGTCAAGGACCTGATTATATCCAAGTCATCAACTTTCCCACTTCCAAGTCTGTTGTCATCAAAATTGAATCTCACCAGCTCATTTAAGCTCCCCAAGCCATGCGGTAGCGCTCCAACTAGACTGTTCTCAGCAAAATCTATGACCTGAAGACCGGAGATGTTAGCCAAGGATGTCGGAATCAGGCCTCCAAAGTTATTGACACCACCGGCAAAGACCTGAAGATTAGGAAGAGTAAATCCGACATCTGGTGGTAGAGTTCCTTGAAGTCGATTTTGAGTAAGAGAAAAGTAAGTAAGAGAGGTTATATTATAGATGGAAGGCGGCACAATGCCTGTCAAATGGTTCCCATAAACGCTGAAGTGTTCCAATTTAGAAAGGCGTCCGAGTTCACTAGGAATATTGCCTTGAAATTTGTTGAGTGCAAATGACAGAGCAAATAAGGAAGAGAAGTTCGCTATCCAAGGTGGGATAGTTCCGATGAGATTGTTACCGCCAAACCCGAGTCGTTTCAACTTGGTTAACGTGAAGAACTGGTTTGGAATCTGACCAACAAGCTCATTGAGACTCAGCTCCAAAACAACAAGCTCAGTACAGTGACTTATATTCGTTGCAATCTCGCCGTCAAAGTTATTGAAGGATAAATTGAGATGGCGCAGTCGTAATAACTTACCAAGCTCTTGGAGAATTGGGCCGTGGAAGTTGTTGTCACCCCATCTGATTTCAGTGAGATGAGTAAGATTTCCCAAAGAAGGTGGTATGGAACCACTCAGCTGTCGACCTTCCAAGTTCAACGCCGTTACTCTTGTAATGCTAGAGTCGCAAGTCACACCATCCCACTCACAAAAATGCATGGAGTCGTTCCAAGAGCTCGTGATTTTGAGTGGGTCATTGAGCACTCTGCTTTTCAAGTCGAGTAGAGCCAAGCGATCTGATTCATTTCCGAAAGCCCAGCAGCTCATGGACATCAGAAAGATATGACATAAAAAAGAGTAAAAAAAATTGTGGGCATCGCAGCGACTATGCCTCATCCTGCTGGGAAATACCAGATTTTGTAATGGAACAAAGCCTGATCTATCAGCTTCCTTGCAAGGATAAACTTAGTGAAGTATCGGTAATGGTAGCAATAGGTTCAAATTCTTTTTGGATGGTTATCATTTAATGACCGTTTGGTCAGTTTTAAATGATTCAGAAGTCTTATCTTAGCTCGACAGCATTCGTGGTGGTTCGGTGGTAGACGTTTTAACATTAATTCATGAAAAAGATAGAGTTTGACATTTTACTTCATTTTTATGCTCATATTTATGACATTTTAGGTGGAAACATTCTAACGTATAAAATACTTTATAAAAGATATTTTATTAGTTATATTAAATAAATAGTTTAAATTATATTCAAATTGACAAAGTATTTGTTATATTAATAATAAAAAATTAAAGATATTCTATGTAAAGACATCCGTCTCAACAAAATACGTTTGTATTGATGTAATTAAATAAAATTTATCAACTTACCAACATTAAGAATTAAATAAATAGTACCAAAAGACTAAATTTCTTTATATATTAGAAGAGTAATAAAAATTGACAATTAATTTTGATGAAAACGTTTTACATTATTATGTTTACAAAAAAGAAAATATTCTAATTCAAAACTAAAAAGGTACTGAATTAATGTAATATAATAAAGAAGTTTTGAAGAATTATTTTTTCTTCTATTAAATCCTGTCCACTAATGTTTGGTAAATAAAGTTTTATATAATAGTAATAAGAACTTCAGAATGATATTTCTTCCTACCTCTCATTGCTTGAAGTTGTAGATGAGGCCGCATTTCTTATTGTGGTTCCTCTGAGATATATGGGCACCAAACAAGTCGGCATGTAACCACAATGATAAGCAATTACCTGCAGAAAAACATTTTGGATAACAAATAACCAAGTAAACGAACCTGCAACTTGTATGCTTCAAATGTTTAGTGTACGCAATTGGAGTTAGTTGCACAATACTTGGGCAACTTCCGCCCAAAGCCACCTAAATATTGTCCGTTTTGATCCGTATCAACGTCAATGACGCATTTACTAGAGAGAAGTTTTTTCACCCTTAACATTTTTTTTCCCTCTCCAATCCATATGGGATCTCACAATCCACCTCGTTGTTGGCACATTGTTCAGTGTCCGATTCTAATACCATTTGTAACAGTCCGAGACCACCGCTAGTAAATATTATCTGCTTTGACCCGTTACATAACATTGTCAGCCTCACAGTTTTAAAACGCGTATACTAGGCCGAGATTTTCACACTCTTATAAGAGATGTTTTGCTCTCCTCTTCAACCCGGTTGCTGCCATCATTTCTTATTCTAATGTTCTTTGCCTTCATCTTGCCCACATGTGTCATTATAATGAACCTAACTTTCCCTCTCCTTTTCTTCACCTTTTGAAATGTAATGACCGAAACTGGAGGCTGCTGGTCAACCATGAAGTACAGTACCAGCGTTATTTCATAATGTGAAAGTCTTCTATGAAAGAAAATGTTCACTTCAATGCTTTCATACTCGACACCACCTTTGTGATAAGCACTCGCCACCGTTCTTGAAATCTTAGATTTGACCCATTCAATTCTATTTCCTTCTCTGTGGACTTTATAAAATATTACCAACCTCATCCAGGAGACCAAGCAATCCGCCTGAATAAATTAATTTCCTTCTAATTGTGTCTTCCATTGGTGTGATCGACAACAAATTCCCTAAAATCATGAGTTTATCCTAATAAGCCTCATTGCATATATCTGGATTAAGACTTCTCTTCTTGTGGGAAAAAAACTCCTGTAAGAAATGTCTGAAAGGTGTGCTATAACACCCATATTGCCAGCCATCTTGCTCGCAGCCATCATCTTCCTCATATGTGGAGATTGCATAATCTACAAAGTTTCGTTTCCAACAGTATCCATAGATGAGAAAGACAATTCAAACTCAACAATTGCGCCCATCGCACAAGTGCACACTGAGCCAACTTTAGTTGGAGAGCCACTGCAGTCCTCGCCAAATAACAGGGATGATAATGATAGTGAACCTTTCGATTCGCTAGTAGTTCCATCCAATATTTCAGGAAAAAAGGAAAGAATTGATTGGTTTAGGAAGCATCTTCCTGACTTTCGGATTTTACAGTCTAACAACTTGACGCAGAAGTTCCACGATCGATTTCTGGAGTTCCTCAGCCAAAAGTGTGAGACACAGTTCTTCATGACATGGGTATCTCCAGCAAGGTCTTTCAGGGGCAGAGAATTAATGGCAGTAGAAAGTGTTTTTAAGTCTCACCCACGTGGATGCTTAACTATTCTATCAAGAACACTGGATTCAGAAAGAGGCTGCCAGATTCTTAAACCTCTACTTGATCATGGGTTTAAAATTCAGGCAATCACACCGGACTTGCCTTCGCTGTTCAAAAACACCCCGGTGGAGGCTTGGTTTGATGAGTTGAAGAGAGGAAAAAAAGATCCAGGTCAGATTCCTTTAGCTCAGAATCTATCTAACCTCATGAGACTTGCAGTTTTATACAAGTATGGAGGTGTTTACATCGATACAGATTTTATTGTTTTGAAGTCTTTCATCGGTTTGAAGAACTCAATTGGCGCACAAAGTATTGATCCAGTATCTAAGAACTGGAGAATACTGAATAATGCTGTTCTTGTTTTTGATAAGAATCATCCACTTCTAGAGAAATTCATGGAAGATTTCGCATCAAATTTTGATGGGAGCAGATGGGGCTATAATGGACCTTTTCTGGTCTCCAGAGTAATGTCAAAGGTAACAGGAGCCACAGCTAGACCTGGTTTCAATGTCACCGTATTACCACCTGCAGCGTTCTACCCAGTGGACTGGACTAAGATTGGTGAACTTTTTAAAAAGCCAGAAAACCAAGCAGCTGCAAGTTGGGCAAAAGCAAAACAAGCTCAGATAAATAAAGAGGCTTATGGAATACACCTATGGAACAAGCAGAGTAAGACTCATATAACGCAAAAGGGAAGCGTGATAGAAAGATTATTCTCCGATCATTGCATCATTTGCAGCTATACTTAGGATTAGGGAAAGCAAACTACAATTTATTTAATACACTAACAGTGAACCATTTTCCTCCCAAGAATCATAATGAGATCATGACCCAATCTTTTATCCCAGATGTGAAATTTCCCAAATTATAGCTTTTCTTTGTTTTCGTCTGTTTTTGTGAGTCTGCAATTACTCTAATGCACAACCTTTGAAGGCATCAAGGGTTTACTCAAAGACTCAAATAAGAGACCTCTACATAGGTGTTTAAGAGAATGAATCTTCCCAATCGCATTCATTTACTAATTTTCTACAATATCATGATCAGAAATATTACTCTCTGTTCCTTTTGAACCCAATCTCTGTGCAATATCATGTCTATTACAGTAGAGGCAGGTTTTATTGCCGTCACAATACTTCCTCCCCAAATAAATCTAACCAGTCTCCAAACTCTGAGGACTGTTAAGGCCACTTCACCTTCATAGAGTAACCAATGCACTTTTCCAATTAATCAGCTGTGGAACCTCAAGAACTATCAAGTTAAATTCAATTAAATGGTTTAATCATGCGAGCAAAACCAACAGGAACGAGCAAATCATATGAAACTAATTTCAAAATCAAAGAGTAACGACGTGAAATACTGCTTAGCCGGAGAATAAAGACTCGTGAAAATCAATGTCAATAAAATCTTGGCCATCGTATTGTATAATATTTGTTTGGAACAACGAGTACCCCTGGCCCGAACGCCTCGCCTGCGAACTTTTTGTATTAGAAAAACAAAAGTCCAAGCGCGAATGGCCACGAGGAGAATATAATGAAAGAAAACCCTAATTAATTTAGAAAAGCAACACCAAACAAATAAACAACACAAGTGGGCGTAAATTTCCATACCACTGATTTCATCGCTTTCCCTGACTGCAATTTCATCCCCTCCGCCTCAATGAGACGCAAAGTAAACAAAATCGAAGAACTAAAAAGTTGAAAGAAGAAGATGAACTCCTAGGGATTCTGCTCGAGAATACGAAGTTCACGCCGGCAAGGAGAAAGGCCGAGAAACCGACTGGAGGAATTGGAAGTGGAACGGTAGAAGCGGACGCCATTACTGAGTCAAGAAGCTACGTAAACAACAATATAAATAAATAAATAAATAAGGCAAGGACTTGTCCGGAGAAATGTAAAAATTTGGCGGGCGATGACTTTAATTTTCAATTGTGAGAAGACTTTTAAAACAAAATAAAATATTTCATTATAATATAATATAGTTCAAAATAAAATAGAATAAGGCATGTATTTCACGATGACGTGGCACCCAGAGTAAAGTATTGTGGTCAAAGGGCGAAAGCTTATCAGCACTGATTAACATTCTTTTTAATATTTCTGTTAATGATTAATGTGTCGAAATTCCAATATTGCTTGCCGGCCCACGAAAGTTTTGTAGGGGACCATTCAGGAAGCAATAAGGCCCGGCCCATTTGCTCCAACATGCGAGCAAGGAGTTAATTTAATATAAGCCCATCAGAAAATGGGCCGAGTCCAGCCCATGTTTCTTTTTAAGCCTAGCCCACCCGAATTGATGGGCCGGGTCAAAAAGAAAACAATCCAATCACTTATGATTACAGAAAATAATAGCTTTCGGTGGTGGCCGTTACTAATCAAAGTTTGTTGGATCCCAAAAGAAATTTAAATATCCTAATCATAAGGGGATGCATGTGCATAGGCACGTGTGAGCCACGTGAAAGCTTGGCACATAAATTTCCATTGTCAAAGGGATTATTTATTTCATTTTCCACTTATACCCTTCAGACCAGCCCATGTTCTAATATACTTGTACAGTTGGGAGACCCATGAGAAGTGAGATAAGCTAGTTCTTAAATTTATGGGAATGGTAAAAAGAAAATATTAAATAAGCTACAAGTATAATATATAATATAATATAATATAATATAATATAATATAATATAGTTAACTAAATTGAGCCATTGATTTTGACTGGATGAGAATCATTACCGATTCAGCACACTAGGGAAAGAAGATCACAGACAAATCTAACACACTCAGAGAGAGAGAGAGAGAGAGAGGGGCATGGGCATGGGCATGGGGAAGAGGCTACTGATTTTCACCCATCGGGGTATGATACAAAATATGGAGGAGATGACGAACACCAAGGCGCACCCCGGCGGGCGGCTGGAGTTCAGTGATGGGGAGCGGCAGCCACAGCAGCAGGTGGGGGCGGAGGCTTGCATTGATAGCATTTGGCGAAGAGTCCGAACGTGTCGACTTGCCTAACGAAGTTCGTCATGCTAGCCCATCCTCCAAACCCGAACCCGACCACGAGAACCCACGCCACCACAAAGGTGTTCAATGCGTACATTCCGACCCAGCTCGGCATGAAGAACGGAGGCTTCTCCGCCGCATTCTGCAAAGGAAGAGGAATTTCCAATGTTTAGACTTCACTAATAATTGAATTGTTTTGAGAGTGGGACAAAGACTTGAAATTGGGTGTTGGAAAAGGGGCCTACAGACAGGAAGATGAGTGAGTGAAGAGAGGAGGCCAACTCATTGAATAACTATAAGAAAACGACCGGTCACCTATTTTAATTGTCTGATAGCATTTCAATATCAAACCCATAAATGCTTTAGTTCATAACTCCATATCCCACCACCCTCTTTCCTCAACAACACAATTACAATTAAAAGTTACCAAGGGTACACTAAATAAAACACAAATTTTGTTCAAAACCATGATGTCGTGATCCTCTGTTTAGCTGATCGTCTAATCCTATGAAGATTCAAGATCTAGTAATGATATCTTTTGCAATTCCATCCTTCATGTCTTAAAAAAATTCACTTCTACAACAAGTTCTTGATTTATTTCACAAAAACCCCTCCTTTAGAGGGATGGGGATATGAATGATATAAAGCTTTAATAAAAAAGAAGTGGGGGCAAAAGCAAATGGCAGGTAGCTGAAGTGTGGGGGCAAAGAGAAATAGTGGGATTTGGAGGGGTTGGAATGCAAAGGTAAAAGAAGAATGGAAAAGCATTTATTAAGGAAAGGGAAAAGGAAAAGGAAAAGGAAAAGGAATTTACCTGTCGAGCAGAGGCCTTTCTGTAGGTGAGCATATGAGCCAAAGCAGGGATGATATACACTGTGAAACTCACCAACAAAGCTCCCACGGCAGAGTTGATAGGCCCAAAGAAAGGGAAAATAATGGCCAAAAACCAAATCGGAACCACCACTGGTAATCTGGCAACAGCCCTCAAACAGATGCTCTTTGTATCATGCATTCCAATCACTTTCTCCCAAACGAAGTACAACGGCGTACAAGCGAACCCGAACGTAATAAACTGCACCCACAAACCCCCGCTGTCAGATTTGTACCAATTTTTTCTTTTTTCTTTTTTTTTTTTTCTCAAAGGGGACTTTTTACAAACACCTTTCGTGCAGTCCAATTTTACCTGGTGGATGAGCATGAGGATGACGGCGGCGTCACGGAAGCCGGATTTCGGGAGGAGGGAGAAGGCGTTGGAGTGGTTCAGAAGCTCGTCGCCGAACGCCCAATACACGGCGGAGGCCGACGGAAGCGTCAAGGTGAAAACATACAACGTGGCCATCAAATAGATGTACTTGAACTTCTGAGGCTTCCACATGGCGTGCATAATTTCACTGAAAAACAAACGTTTTCAGGCCGAATTTCATGACTTGCAGAGCAGAACCCAATTGAAAAGGAAACCAATAAACTTACACAGTCACAGCATGGCCTCCAAATGTGTAAAGAATGTTAGTGGCGCCGGTAAAGTACAGAACCAATTTCTTTGGGCCAGAGTGCTGGACACCCTCAACCTAAAATTTCAAAAAATTAAAAAAATTTAAGTTCCCATTAACAAGAGGATAGCCACGGCGGCGGAGGGGTGGCCGGGGAAATTACCTGGCCGTGGACAATGGCGGCGATGGCCATGTACCAGGCAGTGTAAGTGGTCATTCCAAGGCCCAAAAACGACCAAATCCGGTAGTTATGGAAAGAAGGAATGAAAACAGTTGTAGCACAACAAGCTCCAAAAATATAAGTCCAAGTCCTCTTGTCCAAATGGTCATTGATGTAATAAATATTACTGTTGAAAACCAATTCAAACCCTCAAAATAAACCAAACCCAGATGAAATTAAGCATAAAAATGACAGAAAATGGCAAAAAAAAAATGTCACCTTGCACAAGCAATGAGCTGAATGACCGATCCAAACAAGAGGAAGGTACAGTTAAAAGCAAGGCCGATGGCTTTCCAATAAGGACCCAATAAGCCATCGAGCACTTCAAACCACTGAATCACATGGTTTTTGAAGCTCACGTTCTCTTTCTCCTTCCTACTTCTGTATTCAATGTAGAGAACACTGATTATATAAGCAGTCCAGCTACCCATTATTCCATAGAAAATCTGAAACAATATCCCAGAAAGCATTCCCAGCTGGGAAAAGGAATACGGCAGTGTTAACAGAACTTGCGCAACCTGCAAAAAACCAAACAACAGAAAAGGGTGTAAAATTAAATATATCCTTAAAATAGTGAAAGAATTTGAGAAATGGTTTTCTTTTTTTGTTTTTTACTTGATTAGAAGCGCAACTGAACCAGGCATCCCAGGAAGAGCCGCCATGCCAGAGAAGGTTTTTGACACTGAAAATGGACTGAGATTCTTTATCTTCTTCCTTGCCTTCATGCTCTGTTTCGTTCAAGTTGGGGACTATGGCTTCCTCTGCTAGTTTCTGAGGCAACATTGTCTTTGGTTTCTTTCACAAACCTAAATTCCTAGATAAATAAGACAGTAAATGAGACAAAAACGACGTGAAACAAGAAATCCCCAAATCGGGGGATGCTAAAATCTGTAGTGAAAATAGGAGGAACAAACAAACAAAAAAAAAAAAAAAAAAAAAAAAAAAAAAAAAAAAAAAAAAAAAAAAAAAAAA